AATGAAGCATAGCTCAGGAGAGTCGTCTCCCAGCCCCTCCTGGCCCAGTGTTCTCGGGACCCAGTGGCTTCCTGGGAACTAGTCGAGTGCTGCAGCCACTTCCTACTCTAGTCCCTTCCCCTCTCAGCAGACCGGGCACCTTCTGGTGAGTTGCGTGGTGACCGGACACCCATAGCGGTCTGCTGGCCAGAAGGGGCATCCTGAGGGCGCACGTGTCGCCTCGCAAGGCAGCGGCCCCTGGCGCATCTTCAGGCAGGAGTGCGGGTCGCCAGTGGGGAGCACGGGGTCACTCCCGCAGCCCTGAGGGAGCAGGTGCATCAGGGATTTCACGGCCTCCAAATGTAGCCCCCACAAGTCTTCATCCCAGGTCTCGGGATCCTGAACCTTTCCTGCCTTGCTGGGACCGAGAAGCCCGCCTCCTCTGGGATGCTATGTAGTTCAGAACTGAAGTCTTCGCCGTACCCCCCGCGCCCGCTGTCCTTTGGTCAGGGAGAAGTGGGGTCCTTTTCCGTGCTGCCAAGGTGGCTTCCTCCTCACCTCGCCTTCAACTGCAGATCAAGAGCCACGCTTCTCCTGGCCTCTCTCAAAAGCACTGCTAGCTTTCCATCCTCGGCAGGAAGTCCTCACAGTACTTCCCAGGAGCCTTTCAAAAGCGTGAGATACTGTACTATTCAGCAGAATCCCGTCCCCATGCACCACCAGTGAAAACCTGAACAACTGGCCGCTACCACTCGCCAGGGGCTATGAGTGCTCCACTTGCCACCGGTGACCAGGCTGCCTTTGCCTGGTAACCCACTGCCAAAATCTGTTTTTAGGCTCCACTTCCTCAAAGCACTGCTGGCGCCCACGGGTGTTAGCTTGAGTTTCCTGGGAAACACTGAAGATTGACTGATTGATTGTTTGATTATTCATGAGAGACACAGAGAGAGGCAGAGACACAGGCAGAGGGAGAGAGCAGGCATCCTGTGGGCAGCCTGATGTGGGACTCGATCCCAGGACCCCAGAATCATGACCTGAGACAAAGGCAGATGCACAACCACTGAGCCACCCAGGTGCCCCGGAAGTGACGATTTATGTGCGGGAGGTTCACTGGTGGAGGGGCCTCCATGTCAGGACCTGCGGGAGAGCAGAGCAAGTAGGAGGAGTTACAATAAAGGCCTCAGCTTATTCTACAGGCAGCTGCAGATCCGGACATCCCACATCCATCCGGCGACTCCAAAGTGAGGCAAGGAGGCTGGGCATTCATCCCCCCACGTTGGGCTGGATGAGGGCTCTCCTTCGTCTCCAGGGGAGGGGCATGAACTTGGCCAAGGCACCTGTCTGCAGCTGAAAGCTGTCAGCCACCAACATTGCCAGCAGCCAGGATGACAAGGGCCTTGTCCGAAAGCAGATCTGGAGGGCACACCACAGCATCCACTACCACACGCCGAAATGCCAAAACATTGTTTTTAGGTGTTGAGATACGGCAGTGAACATAGCAGACGTTCACTCTCCTACTTTTTGAAGCGCTCCATGAAGGCCTCGCTGTTCAGCACTGAACAGACAGACACATGAAGGAAGAGAGGAGTCAGACTTTAGATCAGATATTTGCAGCAAGAGTTGTCCAGGCAGAGGAGGCAGCAAGTGCAAAGCCTGGCTTCTTAAAGAGGGAGTGTCCCTGGGTGTTTATGGAACAGTAAGGAGGCCAGAAGTTGAAGCAGAGTCAGAAAAGGAGAAAGTGATCATTGTTGGGGTCAGAAAAATTGGGGCTGAGTGAAGAGGGCAGACTGTACTGGGCCTTGAATGCCACTGTAAAGGCTTCTGGCTTTTCCTGTGAGTGAGATGGAAAGCCACTGGAGAGTTTGAGGCAGAAGAGTACACGATGTAATTTAAAAGGATCACTCTGGCTGTGTGTTGTGAACAGGCTGACAAAGGGACAAGGATGCAACAGGCAGACCAGTTAGGAGACATTGCAATTACTCAGCCAAAGATGATGAGCTGTGGGCCAGGGCGTGACAGCGAATGTGGTGAGAACTGCCTGCATTCTGAGTATAACTTAAAGATCGGAGCTAAAACTCCACCTGATGATGGACTAAATGTGAATCTGAGAAAAAGAGAGAGAGAGAGATAAAGGCACAGATGACTTCCAGATTTGAGGCTCATGCAGCCGAAAGGATGGGGGGGGGGCTGCCATGAAAAGAAATGAGAAAGATGGTGGCACATGTTTGAAGGAGTTGATCGGAGCTCAGCCTTGGACATGTCGCTCCTAAATGGTTATTAGTTAAATGCAGATGTCCAGTAGGCAGCTGATGTCTGAGTTTGGAGTGCAGGGGACAGATCTGGACCACAGAAAGACAGAGGGTTGTCATCATCCTATGGATGTTATTTAAATGATACAACTAAGTGAGATCACAGGGAAATGTGTGTAGAGAACAGAAGAGATTCAAGGATTGAGCCTAGGATTCTCCAATGGTAAGAATGTAGGAAGATAGGAAAAAACAAGCCAAGGAACTGAGGGAGTAACCAGTGCACTTGGAGCAGGGGAATGTGGTGTCCTGGAAGTCAAGGAAGAAAGTGTCTCCAGAAGGAGGGAGCCGTTGATGGTTTCCAGTGCCACTGGAGTGGGTTTGATGGAGCATGGAAGGAAAGGAATTAGGGACAGCAGATACAGACCACTCTTTTCCAAGAAACTTTTTCCTATTTGTTTTGTGTAGGGAAAATCAGTGGGTTCAAGAGAGGGTTTTAAGACAGAAGAAATAACATGCCTGTACCCTGTTGGGAAAGAGCCAACAGAGAGCGGAAAGTTGATGTTTGGGAGGGTAGGACTGCTGAGCAAAGACCACGCGTGAGTGGGTGAGGGAGGATGAAATCTGGTGCTCGAGTGTGAGCGTGACTTCGGAAAAGGGTTCAGACGGCCGGTGGTTCAACTGTAGGTGTGGATGAAGAGGCGAAGAGTATGGGGAGATGTGCTTTGTAGGTTCTTACCACTGCTTCAGCCTCCCACGCAGAATGAAGACTGGGAAGAAGTGCCTGAGGTTTGAGATGAGAGGTTTCTAGGCCTGGGATAAGCTCCCAGTTGAAGTTTGCAGTCACAACTCGAAAGTGAGATGAGTCACAGCTGCGGGAGGTGAGCATGCCTCGGGTTGGCACTCAGCCAAGCAGTGCAAAGACTTTGGAGTGGGCCAGGGGGTTGAGTACCGGCAGGGGCTCACAGTCTCACATTAGTGCTGCTTATCCTACAATCTACAGACATCACACCGGGTTTGTAAGGTTCCCCGTGATTGTGAGTGAGTCATAGTCGTGGTAGAGTCCTGGAGCCTTGGGCACCTGTTGTTGTAGGAATGGCAAAGTAATGGAGTCCCTAGACTTTCCAGTTCACATCTTCCTGGGAAGCCCAGTAGGGTCGCCCATCCTGTTCTTCCAAGAGGATTCCCATCCCTCTTCTGCTGTGTGGACCCTCACAGCAGTTCCTATCACTCAAATCACCTCACTCCATGTGCCACGCATTTAACTAAGAGAGCCTAACAGAAGGCTCACTGCCGTTATTTACAATTAACAATCATGTTGGTAGTTGTATGTATTTGTCTGTTGTTTCTAGAGAATACACGTTCCCATTTTATCTTACCCACCCAAGTGTTTCATGAGTGGACAAACATGGTTAAGTTTGTAAACTTTGATGCCAGGCAGACGATATTTGGAATCCCAGCTTTGCAAGCAGCAGTTTCCTTCCATTGGGGTTTCATTGTGCTCAGTGTGAGGAAAGACCCTCTTACTGCCAAACTGCTTTATTACCAGCGCTGCTTCTTACCCATCTGGACCGAAAACTTTGTGCTTGGATGTCACAACTCGGAAACATGTCTCAGATACGTATGGACCATCATAAAGGATACCTAGTGTAGGAGGAAGTGACCGGGTTTGTAATGCATTTAATTGCTCTAGATGTATCTGAATGATAGCAAACAAAGGTCTCTATCTAAAGCTGAAATGTCCTCCAAAGCTATTGTGTCAAACAGTAGCAAGCACAAAACCATTTTAAGAAATCAATGCAGTCACTGTGTCCCTTCCGAAGTTGACACGTAACAGTTGCTTGTGACATATTCAAACACAATGCAGATATTTGTTTACACTTTGAAAATCCTACATACTTCAGAGACTTCCCTAATCATATGGCTGAAGAAAACATGGGAGCACAATGCTATCACAGATTCCAACTCAGTGTAAGTCATTGTTGGGCTCCCACTAGGATCTCAACACTCTGCCAGGCCCCGGGAGGGGAGGGAAGGGAAAAATAGAGCTCCTGCTTTCAAAAACTATAGTTGTGAGGAAAAGGTTTCCATCAACGGCATGACATGAGGGGCAACCCATGTATACACACAGATCTGTATTCATCCTGGGGCTAAATGTATGTAGACGTCTATATACATCCTAGGGCACATATTTAAACACTTTTAAGTGAAAAAATGTAAAAATGAGGGATTTTTGCAGTTATTTTCTCAACCTTCACTACTGCCCTAGGAGGAAGAGTGTCACTCCCCTTTTGCAGGTAAGAAAACCGAGGCTCATAGAGGTGAAATCACTTGCCCAAGATCGCTCAGCTCAAAAGCGAGAGTCCTGAAGCCAATCCTTTCCATCTCAAAGCCGAAGCACCTGCCGCCTCAGCAGGGTGAGGCACAGTCACAGCCAAGTGCTGTGAATCATCAGCAAGGCTGGGAGCAAGGCTACGGGGAGGAGTGCACGTGAATTCGCTTGAGAAAACGTGGTCGTTAGATCACGTGTCACGATGTCACAATTAGCAGCATCTAAGGCGGGGCTTCCTCGCATCCCACGTGCCACAGGGCCCTTCTGCTGCTCTTCTCCCCGCAACATCTCGGGGGGTTCCTGATCAAGGCATGGCTTCAGGGAAAATTTGCATCAGCTGCTACCTTCCCAGGGGCCAGGCAATCCCATTAAGGGCAGCTCCCGAGAGCGCCTGACTACATGGGAATAAAACAAGCGTGGGCTGACAGCCGTGGCATGTTGGTCTTTCCCTTCTCTGAGGAGGAGGCGTAGCTGCCCTGTGGGTACGGAGTGGGCATTCCTCCCCGGGGCCATGAGCTGAAGTGTGGAAGGGGTCCTACGCCGAGCCGAGCTGGGATCAAAAGGTAAATGGGTCTAGCATCCTCCGAAGAACAAAATTCCCAGCCAGAAGATCAGGCTGGTGAGCTCAGGCCACCGCAGTTGACGCCACAGGGTCACCTCAAGAGTGTGATGGAGCCTCCTCGCCTGTTCTTTTGAGGTGGCTTGTCCCTGGGACAGAACTTGGGGGTCGCTTGGCTGCATAGTGGAGTCTTTGAAGCCAGGCAGGCCTCGGTTCAGATTCCAGCTCCATGCTCCCCCCGCCCCCGCCCCCCCCCCCCCCGCCCCCTGCCAGGGAAGCCACTGAATTCCTCCACAGCTCCGGTTCCCTGTTCATTCGACGGGGATCCTAGAACTTTCCTTGCACAGTTACTGTGGTTGTCACATAAGAGAACGTAAAAGGCTCCCCAGGGTAGCCGGCCCTAAATGGATGGCTGCTGTGACTTTGTTAACAATCAAGCGCCCAGAGTCTATGCCAGGTGTGCATCTGAACAAGTAGCCGTGTCAGCCCCAGCTTGGCCCGTGTCCCCTTCCTGTTCCTTAGAAGGCAAGCACTCTGGGAATAAAGCTCTGCACGCGTCAGTGATGCCAAACAGCTCTGGGAGGGGAGGGCTCCGTGGGACGAGCACTTGTTAGAGGGGAAGCAGGACGGCACAGGGCCTGGCTGAGCAACCTGGGGAGAGACGGGTCACCTCTCTGGGCCTGTTTCCCCAGCTTTTTACTTGGGGGTAATCATAACTGCCCTCGATTTTGAAGAAATATCTGCCTCGAGACAGGTGAGGCTTGGGGAGTGTGAGGGGGTGGGGTTGTAGGGAGGACCCGCTGAGGATGTGGCAGCAGAAATGCTCTGCAAACCATCCTGTGCTGGACCCGCATCTGACCCCTGAGGGATGTTTACTGGCGTTTGTGTTATAGATTCACAGGTGCGGTGAACCCGAATTCCTTGAGTCCTCTGCATGCAAGGCCATGGCTCAGAAGAGCCCCACAATCAATGGCAACAACCTGCCCTTTGGAGACCTGGCCTCCGAGGTGACCAGACGCAGAGTCACCATGGCCACCAGGTACTTGAGAGCTTTTGGTGCACTGGGGGAGGGGCAGGGATGGAGCCTAAGTGCTGATCCCCACCAGATACCTGAAACTGCAGGAGACCCTGGTTTGCATAAATCTGTTCAAAGGCATTCATTCATTGCTTCAAGGCAGATTTTATGGGTGAGAAAGCACTTTGTCACTCACCCTGGGAAACAGATTTATGTGTCTTTCAGCAGGTGATGATAAGGGTGCTGAGATGAACTTCAGATCAGTGGCTCTTCATGGGGGTGGGGGGTGAGGATCACTTTGGTAATTGGATGGGAGTTGCCATGCACCTTCCCGATATAAAAACGTGTGACTTTGCCAAGTTTGGGGACAGCGTGGACTCTGGGAAGCTTGTCCTCATTCCCAACTAGGCTGTAAGCTCCCCACAGGCAGGCAGTTTTCCTCCTCCACTGCATGCCCCGCGCCCAGGACCAAGCTGGCCGGCCTTTGGAAGAGCTGCCAACAGCTGCTCTGGGCCCTTGGAGGGGCTTTGCAGGCCAGGCAGCAGCCAGTTCTGAACCTCCGCTGCCTGATGCCTTCCCCTGATGGTGATGGGGCTGGCGGATACAATACAGGATGTCCTAGTGAAATCGGAAATTTTTTTTAAGAGACTTTTTTTTTTTTAAGATTTTATTTATTTATTCATGAGAGGCACAGAGAGAGGCAGAGACACAGGCAGAGAGAGAAGCAGGTTCCATGCAGGAAGCCCGATGTGGGACTCGATCCCGGGAACCCAGGATCACACCCTGGGCCAAAGGCAGGCGCCAAACCACTGGGCCACTGGGGCTGCCCTGAAATTGGAATTTTAAATAAACAACAAGAAACAAGAAGTTTTCTTGGTCTAAGTACATCTGTGCAATATTTGTGATCTGCTCAGAGTAAAAAAAAATCAGCTGTTTATCTGAAATTCAGATTTAACTGCGTACCCTGTATTTTTGTCTGCTAATTCTGACAAGCCCATAATGGCCTCTGGGGAGTTCCCTGTCCTCTCTGGGCTGAGCTCCTCCGATCTGGTTGGGTGCCCAAGATATCCGCTATATAAAGGTGCAGAAAGAAAAGGTTATACTCCAATTTATATGAAAACCGAGCTCTATTGAAATTGATGTCTGGCTAGATGCAGTTCCTTGGCTGGGTGTCAGGTGGTCAGGTGTCAAGTCGGAGACTTTCCTGTAGGGGTGGATGGAAGCTACAAGCTGGGGGAAATCTAGGAGGCTGCTTCACTCACTTGCAGCAAATGCGAACACATTACAATTTACTTGTGTTGGTTAAGTGGATCTACACGTTGTGTTACTACTCAGTGAATATAAGCCTCAAAAGAGACGAGCAGCCTAATGAAATTTCCACCAAGAAACCTGGCTTGAAAGGATTCTCATCACGCGTAAATGACAAAAATTGGCAGAGCTGGCACTTTTGGTTTGCGTTCTTTGTCAGGTATGGTAGGAATGTAAGAATAATGGCTTTATTGGAACTGATGTGTTGTTGGGCAAAAAATAAAAATGATTGGTTTGAAATACCAATACCTCTATCCAGTATTATTCACAATGCTACTTAAGACCATAGAGTTTTCGGGGATGTAAGACTTTGGCCAGTTGATTAAAAACAAAATTATATACAATTTCTTAACAAAGATTCGGGGTGTTGGAAACCTTCATTGACAGGGTTACATGGCAGCTTTGACACCATGGGCTGATGATGTGAGAGGGGGCCTTGTGAGAGGGCCTGGGGTCACTGGGCTCTAGCATCTACTGAAGAAGGACGAGCCTCCACAACTCTGAAGCCTCTCCTAGCCCCCACTCCCCGCACCTCCTATCCCATCAGCCAAGTTAGGGCTCTGCTCGGACTGGGAGATGCGCTGGTACTTGTGGTCTGGAGACCGGAGACTGGGTTCCAGTTCGGCCCCTTACGAGCCCCTGAGGCAGGCAGATGGCCTTCTGTCTCCGCCTCCTCCTCTGAGCAGCTTAGCGGGAGGGGTGGCCGTGAACCTGCAGGTCAGGAGCAGCTCGCTCCCGGTTCCTGGAGCACCGCAGATTTTCAGGGCAACGGTTGACTCTGATCTGACTCTTTAAGCACTTGACAGGCTAGTCCTCTTCTCCTGAAGACGGGGTTTGCCCAGCCCTGAGGAGGATGGGAACACCCTGCTAGACTCCAGAGAAGGGCAGGACAGCCTGCAGTCTTGGGGGGGGCAGGGGGCGTGTGTGCAGGGGGCGCAGGTAGCAAGGAGAGGCAAAGTGAACTTAAGGCTGAGCTGGCCAGGGGCGCCTGGGTGGCTCTGTCCGTTGAGCGAGTGGCTCTTGGTTTCCGCTCAGGTCCTGACCTTAGGGTCGTTGGGCTCTGTGCTCAGTGGGGAGTCTGCTTGGGATTCTCTCTTGCCCTATGCCTCTCCCTCTCAATAAATGAAGGAATAAACTTTAAAATAATCGTTAAAAAAAAAAAACTGAACTAGCCAGAGAATAGCTGGAGTGCAAATAAAACCTTGAGACAGAGCTTGGCCTCAGCTGAAATTCCAGAATGCTGGCTGGTAGGGCCGGACCCATGGGGCCGCTGGAGACAGCTGAGCTCTGAGGAGAGCTGAGAATTGAAGCTGAGAATTGTCCGTCTCCCCCTTGCCAGCTGATAGTCCTGTGAGACTGGGTAGATGAGTCAGGAAAACTGTCCTTCAAAATATTGAGTCGTTCTCTTTAGGTGCTGGGATCTGTTTTTTGTTTTTTGTTTGTTTGTTTGTTTTAAATCCTACATGTATTTAGAAAACATTCACTGTGCCTTTCCTCCCAGAAAAGAGCGATTTACTAAGAAAAACGATGAAGCCAGGGCGATATCCTCCACTCTGGATCTGGAGCAAGTCCCTTCTAGTGTGGCCGGCCCTACAGAACCTCCGGCTCCTCCTCCTTCACCAGTAGAAGACTGCAGAATCTAAGTGGGCTTCTATATCATTCTAGCAAAGTTCCCCTGATGTCTTTGGGGGTGTCTTTGAAGACAGTCTTGAAACATCTTTCTTCTTTCCTATTTTTCTTGTCAATCACTGCTGAGTGTTGTTTATCCTCACTAGTGCATGTAGAGCCATCTTTGGTCGTTCAAGTCAAGTCTCTGATATGTGTCCACATTTGGTCTTTAATTTGTGTCCTTCTATAGAACGTAGTAAATTGTATTGGAATTAAAAAAAAAGATCAGGTTTCAATGTTTGTTATTAAATATGGATGAATAAAAAGTCCAGGAATCTGTGACTTTAAATCTGAAGATTTGAGATCCAAAGAACCATGAGGTATTTGAGTTTTCAAAACTCAGCCTGGGACACTACAATTTTATGGCCTTTTACGCTAGTTTAACTGAGCTGCACCATATCTCCTGTGCTAGTGCCAAGCTGGCTGTGTTTCACATTTATGGACTGTATTTCCAAGGTGTATTTTAGGAGATTTAAGTGAATTTTAAACCCTGTAACTGAAGAAACCCAACCTGAAAACCAGCTAAGTGCAGAGTGGGAGAGAAGTCCATGGCTCAGATCCCATGTACAAGACTCTCCACTGATCCCAAAGCACTTCTAAGGACTTCTGAGCAGTCTGAAAGCATAAAAAATGTGATCATCTAAATCCACCTATGGGAAATGTCCTGAGGTGCTTTTATTTCATCCACTTCTTCATAGGGTCCTCATTGGTGTTCTCTCTCCAGGCTTGCCCTTAAAAATGTACTCTGGTCCCCCCTACCTGCATAGGGGACTGTGCCTCCGATCAGGTCGGGTTCCTTGCTTGTGGTCTGCTGCAGCAGCATGGGGCAGGGGATGGGCAAGAGCATGCGCGGAGTTCCAGTCCTTGCCAGCTGGGTACTCCACATACACACGAGCTCCTCATCGGTCAGACGAGGAACCTATGCTGTTCAATAGGGTAGCCACTAGCCACATGTGGCTACTTAAATTTAAATTCAGGAAGATTAAATAAAATTCAGTTCCTCCGTTGCACTAGCCACATTTCAAATACTCAGTAACTGTATGTGACTAGTGGCCACCATATTGGATGTTACAGCTATAGAACATGACTATCATTACAGAAAGTTCTGGATAGTGCTGGAACAGAGGTTAAGTGACTTGTCTAAGGTCAAACAGTTAAGAATAGAATCCAGGAGAGCAAATGTGAGAAAGACTAACTCTGGTATTTTATTTCCAGTTCTTTTTTTTTTTTATAAGATTTTATTTTTAAGTAATCTCTGCATCCAGAACATGGACTAAAAAAAATAGTCCACTTTAGATTTTTTTTATTATCTACTATGTGAGTCAAGCACTGCTCTAAGGACTTATTATTGAAGAGAATCATCAACTCCTGACCTCACGGAATGTTATTTGTTGGTTCACAACCGCCTCGGGAGCTTCCCAGGTGAAATCTGAAACCAGCCCATGCACTGAGAAGGCAGGGAAAAGAGGAGAAAGAGCCCAGCCACTCCAGGTTTGTAGGTGGCAGATTTAGTAAGCAAAGGTAGCTTTGCTTGCCTTGGGTGGCAGCAGATGAGTGGGTCCTTGCAATACTTGCTACATCTTAAAAGTTTATATGGAGGCCTTAACTGGGCTGGGGTATGTATGCCATGCAGGTGTCTTCAATATCACATCACTGTCTCAAGGCCATACCCTTCAAGCAGCCTCTGGGAGCTGGAAAGGCAAGCAGAAGCCACGTTGTAAGCACAGGGAAGGGAGGTGAGGAGCCTCTGATTGCACCGAGTCCAACTCACAGGCAACTCCCAGTCCCCTCTTGTTGATGACCTTGCCCAACACTCCCTCCTCGTGACCACTCTTAAAGCCCCCTCTTCTGCAACGGACCCTGAGCGGTCAGCAAGGAGTTTCCCTAGCATGGAGCTGGCTCCTGGGCTAGCTATCTGGAGCATTGGCATATGCCAATGATTCCCAAAAGCAGTGACACGTTTTTCTACAAGAGCCTATGATCTGAATTACTGATTTATCAAGTCCCCTAAGCTGGAGTTTGGAGCATCAGGGTGTTCACTTGTGTCACATGATTTAATAAAGATGACACATTACCACACTCATCAGTATGAACACACAACATTCTATTTGGAAAACGTAGAGTCATTTCAATGTTCAGTAAGGGCAGGCTTATCGGCTATTTAGGACTTGCTAGGTGAACTTTTTTTTTTTTCTTAAAGATTTTATTTGAGAGAGAACACAAGCGCCAAAGTGGTGCGGAGGGAGAGGGAGAAGCAGACTCCTCGCTGAGCAGGGAGCCCAATATGGGACTCGATTCCAGGACTTTGAGATTATGACCTGACCCTAAAGCAGATGCTTAACCAACTGAGCTACCCAGGTGCCCCTCAGTGTGTATTTCAACAGGTCTTGACAACAGATTCCAGTGGAGATTGAGCACTTCCCCGTCACCTAGAATGCCAAGTAACTCATCCATCCTGCTGGGGCATCCCATACATTCAGTAGACAACTCATTTCCTGGGTGTGATGGGGCTTGGCATCCTCAGCAGCATAGTGCATTCATCCACAGTGAGAGTCGGGGTACCGGCTGTTTCTCATGACTTCCATACCTTTACAGTATCCTGTGCCTCCACGGGGGTCACCGGTCTGGTATATGGGCAACAGGCCCTACTGGTTGATGATTCAAATGTCTTAAAGACTGGGTCAGAACTTCAGCCCACCCCACCATTGTTAGTAATTTGATCTGCTCCTTTAATATTCCATTTTTTTCTTTCAACCCTGTTGCCTGTGCATTTCAGGGGAGACAGAACGTCTGTTCCATGTCCTGTTCTGTTGCCCAGTCTAGCATGTCATGATTTGTGATATGGCAGTCTGGTTGATGAGGGTGTCTACCCATGACAGTTTTTCTTCCCCCCTAATTGTGGCAACTAGGTTTGTGTGTTGACAGAGGAAAGCTGGTTTCAGGCCACATGCAGTGTCCACAAACCGAGGCATATTTAGAGCCCTCATTCGGAAGAAGAGGGCCAATGTAATCAATTTGTCAATCCCTCATCAACTGGGAACTCTGGTGAATGGTTACCATGGTGGTTGCCTTAGGCATCGTTGGGAACACCCAGACATGCTATTACTGCGTTGACTATGTCACTGTACTTCAAGGACAATCCAGCATTCTTACCAATACGTCATCTTCCTTGGGCACTGTGGTGGCCACCCTTCCTGTGCACCCTATCTGCTGGGTGAAGAGTTAGAGCTCTTACCAACAGGGCACCAGCTTCCTAGTAGCCAGGGGGTGTCAGTGCCTCATGAGCTGGAACATGGAAAACAGTGAGGAATGCCTTGCTCTCTGGCAGATGCCCCCCGATGTCTTGCCACATATCCTGATCCCACAAAGTCTTATTCATGATCATCCATCCCTTGGCTTCTTACCGTCAGAGTCATGAGTGCAGAGGGTTAATGGCTGGGGCCCATGCGTAATCACTAACCAGACCATGCTGAGCTCAGCCTCCTGGATGCTGCATGAAAGGCTCCCTGGAGGAGAGCTGTGTGTACTATTAGGAGCTTGTGTTCGTGGGGGTATACTGGGCTCTGTCCTCCCAGAGCTGAAACGTGTATCCTATGGGCACTTTCTCCTTGTGTGTTATTTTCTGCCACAGGGCCGAACCCATACCTTCTGGAGTCACAGACACATCTAACTCAGTGGCAGCCCTGCTTGGAAGATGTCCAGAGCTTTGTCTGTTTCATTCATATTTTTGCTTTCTCAAAGGTGGCTTGTTGCTCTTCCCTCTGCCCATACAGGCCTTTTCTTTACCAAACCACAAAGGGGCAGAGGCACTGTGCCAGGTGGGGAATAAAAGTCCTCCAGGCTCCAAAATCCCGACAAAGATGCGTACCTCTTTCACATTCTTAGGGTTTGGGTAAGCTTGTACCTTATGGATCACAGCCTGTGGGACAACGCGAGTCTTATCTGACCAGACAGCTCCCAAAACCTTATGGTGGTGCCTGAGCCTTGATTCTGTGGTTTCACTGTCCATCCCCTCCCTCACAGGTGCTCCAGCAGGGATGCCCTGCTGCCTCAGTTGTAGCGCACACTACTCTTGATCTTGGGGTCATGTGTTTGAGCCCCATGTTGGGTGTAGAGATTACTAAAACAACAACAACAACACAAAACAGATGCTCCAGGAACCTAATCTGTGAGGTGTCCTGCAGCAGAGGCAAATCTTCACATGTCAGTGTCCTATCACCAGTGTAATGGGCCTGCTTTACTTGTGGGGAAGCTCGACAGGGACGGGTCTCAGGCTGTGCAGGTAGTCTTGGGGGAAAGGTTTGAAAGGTTTATTTTGTCCCTCCCACATGAGGCAAATTAGTCTGTTATCAGACACCCGACAAAGTATTTTTATTTAATTTTGGGGGAACTGCTGTTTAAAATTTCCTTTGTTTTCAGAGGGCAGGGGGCATTTTGTCTGTTTCCTCATCAATCACCACTCCACCCTCCTCTTCATTCTCATCACTTTCCCAGAGATTCCACATCTTCATGTCCTGACCAGGCTTTGTTGCGAGTGCCCAGATGTTAGCTCCACAGAGTGGCATGCTGAGACCTCCCACTTATTATCCTGCTCCCCCACCCGCCTGCCAGCCCCAAAGCCAGAAGAGTAGTGGACACTCCCGCACTCTTCTCTAACCTCAGCTTTTCTAGCTTTCTAACTCAAGCTCAGCTTCTAGATGTCCACAGGAGAGGCCAGCCCATCTCGCCATCCATTTGTTTCTCTGCTCTGCTGCAGTGAGCGATGCACACTTTCTCAAATAAGCTCCTGATAGCACCTGGCATTTTGGGGGGTGTCCCTATACTCACGAGACAGTCCACAAGCATCTAACAAACCAGGCTCCCCGACCCCCATTCCCGCCACAAAGAGAGGCAGCTGGCAACCTGGGGTCTCCCCACAGGTGCCTCATTCCTTCTCTCTCCAGGCAGGCTCACTACTTGTTGGCTCATAATCCCCTTGGCAGCTTCCCGGGTGCAATCTGAAACTGGCCCCAGCACTGAGAGGGCAGGGGGAGATTGAAGAAGGAAACAGCCACTCCAGGTGAGGAGGTCTCAGGTTTAATAAGCAAGGGAACATCCATACAAGCCTTGTGTTGGATGGCAGCAAGACAAGTGGATCCTCACACCCACCCTCCACATCTCAAAAGTTTATAAGGAGCCCTTAACTGGGTTCAGTTTATGAGCGGTGAAGGTGTTCTTAACACCACACACCACTATCTCAAGGCTGCATCCTTGGAGCAGTCACTGGGGGACAGGAAAAACAAGGGGAACCCACATGCAAGGACAGGGGAAGGGGTTAGGAGCCTCCAACTGCCAACGTCTAGCTCACACGTCAACTGGCGGTCATGTCTTCTCAAGGACCTTCCACAACGTTCCAGAGAGAGAAGTCTGATGAAAAGTATATGCAATTTAAAATCAATGGATTATATCATATGTCAGAAGATGATAAATGTAATGGAAAGGAAAGGAAATTTTTACATAATCAGACAGGGTCAGGAAGATTGGAAGTAGCAGATGAAACAGCCAGTCAGCTGCATTTTTAAATAGGGTGGTCTGGGTTGGCCAGTTTAGGAAGGTGACAGTTGAGTAGAGACATGAGAGGAAGTTAGGTTCATGGACATCTGGGGAAGAGGGAAGAGTCAGTGCAAAGGGCTCAAGATCAGAATGTGCCTGGAGTATTCAGAGGAGAGTAAGCAGGCCAGTGTGATTTGGCTGGAGCAGAGTGAATCAGGGACATCAGTAAAAGGTGAAGTCACAGGCGCGGGGGAAAGAGCATGGGGGACTTTGCAAGGATTCAGACTTTGACTTTGAAATGGGACGCTATGGGAGGTTTTCTGGAAGGAGAGACAAGATCTGGCTTGTATTTTAAGGGGGTCATCCTGGCTGCTACGGTGACTAGGCTGTCTGGGAGGGGGGTGGAAGGAACAAACACTCCAGAGGCTCCGCAGCAATCCAGGAAAAAGGCAATGGGAATCTGAACAACTAGCTGTTGGCCTGGTGAGAAATGTGCTCAGATTCTGCACATACGTATTTGAAGATGGAACCAACAAAAGTTTCTGATGGACTGGATGTGGGATTTGAGAGCAAGAAGTAAAGGATGACTCTAAGAGTTTTGGCTCGAGCAACTGGAGAAATAGAGATACTCTCCAGCTCCAAGGAGAACAGATTTAGCATGTATTACAGGGGTGGGGTATGGAAACTCAAAAGTTCTGTTTTTGCTGATTTGATATGCCTAATAGACATTTTTTTAAGATGTTATTTTTAAGTAATCTCTACACCCAACATAGAGCTTGAACTCACAACCATGAGATCAAGAGTTGTACACTGCAGTGACTGAGCCAGCCAGGTGCCCCTGCCTAATAGAGATTTAAGTGGAGAGGTCTAGCATGCAAATAAATATATGAGTCTGGAGTTTAGAAGTAAGGTTTGGGCTGGAGGTATAAATTTGGGGGTTATCAGCATAGATGTGGCCTTTAGAGCCACAATGCTAGCTGAGACCAGAAGAATGAGCAGGTAAAAAGGAGAACCATAAATTGAGCCCAGAAGCACTTCAATCTTGAGACTATGTGATTGTGAATTTTGCGTGTCAACTGGACTGGACCCAGGTGTGCCCAGATTAAACATTGTTTGTGGGTGTGATGTGAGAGTGACTTCAGATCAGATTAGCCTTTGAATCAGTGGACTCAGTAGACTGCCCTCCCCAGTGTGGGTCGGCATCATTCAATCCATGTAGGGCCTGAATAGAGCAAAAAGCTGAAGGAAGGAGGAATTCACCCCTTCTGCTTCGTGCCTGCCTGCTGGCCTGCTTGAGCAGGGACATCTGCCTTCCTGTGCCTGCACTGGGGGTTATGCCATCAGCTCCCCCAGTTCCTAAGACCTCAGACTTGGACTGAATTACACCACCAGGCTCCTGGGTCTCCAGCTCGCAGAAAGCAGATGGTGGGACGTCTCAGCTTCTACGGTCGGCATGAGACAATTCCTCATACTAAGTCTCTCTTCATACTTCTGTCTTCTACTGGTTCTGTTTCTCTCGAGGACCTAATACAGGCGAGGAGGAGGAACCAGCAAAAGAAACCAAAATGAGCAATCGGTGATGTAGGGGGAGTCTAATATCCTGGAAGCTAAGTGCAGACAGATTTCCTTCTTCCCTCTGTTCCTTCTTCATTCACTCCCTCCTTCCATCCCAAAGCTAGAGGCAGGGGCTGATAGAGGGAAAGAAAAGGAACCACGGGCTGGTCTGTGTAGGGATTTGCCTCACCAGCATGTGTACTGTGACTGCCCGTCTCCTCATCCAGAGCTGTGTCCTCACCTTCCACTTTTCCCTTCAACACTTGGCAGCTACAGGTGCTCAGAAGGGTAAATGAGTTTATGAGTTCCTACTTCCGGGTTGTCTAGTTTTTTTTTTTTAAGATTTTATTTATTTAATTCATGAGAGACACACACAGAGAGAGAGAGAGAGAGGCAGAGACACAGGCAGAGAGAGAAGCAGGCTCCATGCAGGGAGCATGACATGGGACTCTATCCCGGGTCTCCAGGATCACGCCCTGGGCCGAAGGCAGGCGCTAAACTGCTGAGCCACCTGGGCTGCCCCAGGTTTTCTAGTCTTTAAGAGTCTGCTGTCAGTACAGGCAGTGGTGATATCCAGGAGGTATGGACTGAATGGTGTCCCCCACCGTCCCAATTTGTATGTCAAGGTTTTAACCAGTAATTCATCAGAATGTGACCATCTTTGGAGAATAGGACCTTTAAAGAGGTAATTTCATTACAATGGGGTCAGTGGGGGTGGGCCCGAATCCAGTTTGACTGCTGTTCTTAAAAAAGAGATTAGGACACAGACACACACAGAAGGAGGACCGTGTGGAGGTACAGGGAGAAGGCAGCTACCTACAAGCCAAGAAAGGAGGCCTCAGAAGAAACAACCCTTGATCTCAGACTTCTATCCTCCAGAACTGTGAGAGAGTAAATTCTGTAGTTTCAGCCACCCCATCCATGACCTGAGCAGGTGAATATACCTGAGAGAGACAGCTCTCTCTCTTCCTGCTCATGCTTGGCATGCATAGCCTTCCTGAGGGTTGACCCTCAGTGGGTCATCCTGGGTTTTGCTGGGTTTGCTTTCTGAAGCATACTCTTTAGAATTCATGACAGAGAGAATTGTCTTTAAAGTCAAGCTTTTGACTTTTTAAAGTGCTGGTTCTCTTGGAAATCAAGGGGCTAAACCCTGGTTCCCATGAACAGTATTTGAAAAGATAACAGAGAAAGGGTTCAATGGTGGCATCCCTATAGTCTGTATAAAGTCTGGGGGAATCAAGGAAAAAGGAGAGAAGAAGAGAGCTTAGATTCTATAGAGTTCTTGTCGGGCCTCTGTGTCCCAGACAGTTTGGGGCATGAGAAGGCAGAAGCAACTTGTTCTTGCTTCCAGATAAATCCTGTGGCCGTGGCAAAGTTCTACAGGAAGTGTCCCTGCACCAGCCTGAAGAGCAAAGGGGAACCTGAGATGGACCTAGGCGGCAGGGTCCGAGCACCCCTTGCTTCCCCTGGTGCACATGAGCTTCTTTTTTAAAAATATATATTTTATTTATTTATTCATGAGAGGCACACACAGAGAGAGGCAGAGACACGGGCAGAGGGAGAAGCAGGCTCCATGCAGGGAGTCCGACGTGGGACTTGAACCCGGGTCTCCAGGATCACGCCCTGGGCTGAAGGCGGCGCTAAACCACTGACCACAGGGGCTGCCCTGCACATGAGCTTCCGACGGGACACAGAGCAGGCTAGGAAAACAGCAGCAGTCTGATGGAGCTGGCCACCAGAACGTGGAGGTCCCCTGAGCTGGAACTGGCCACGGAGACGTGTGCACCAGCAGCAAATGCTGGAAACCACACTGGTGACTAACACCAGGCATGAGAATCTGGCTTCCCCTTCCCTCCTGGCCTGGGGGCCGTGCCCTGGCTTCCCTCAAAAACACAGATGCCAGCTAGAGGAGAATGGGGGAGAGGAACGACCTGAATTGATTGAAAATATGTGATGGGACAGAGTCCGAGCTGAACTGGCAAGATAAAGTGTGCTACTGTTGGGTACGACGGCACCTGAGGATAGTAAGCAGGTTCAGTTACCAAAAAGTCATGGTGGAAGGTCTGCTCGGCTGAGGTTGTAGTTTATGAAGTTCATGCTCATGACAGCCAGTAAGAACCAACACGGAGCCAGGGTGAAGAGAGGGGAAGTTGAGGAAAGAGAAGATGGTTTGGGAAGGACCAGGAACACCAGGGGAGGGCTGGATTCCACGGCGGGCCTGGTGTCCTCCTGGGCAGCACCTCCAAACCAGGTGCAGACTCTCAGCCCCCCCCATTCCCACCCCCCCCCACACACACACCAGTAACGCTCTGCAATCACAGCTCCCAACCCGAAGAGATGACCTGATGGTCAGAATCAGTACTCTTCTTCTGAGCAAAGTATTTCACAAAGGTCGAGGAGGATAGTAGGTAAGCTTGCTTTATTTCACAGGGCAAAGGGTATGTGATGCCCCACTGGATGCTACGTGAAGCCTTAGAAGCCCACTATGCAGGTGTTCAGTGCTGGCCACAAGAGCTGCTCCCCCTCCTCTAATTATGGCTTGTGGTAACCAGGCACAGGCAGGGGACGACCCTGGGTGCCATGTGGAGTAAGCTGTTCTGCCCCAACTCTCCTCCAAATACGCCCCCTTTAGCCAGTAAGGGCCTTTTATCAAAAGCTTTGTGGTTTCCATGAAGAGACTACTACGCATGACAGCTTCTGCCCCAAATCACCACGAAACTTGCACTGTTTTTTCATTAAACCGCCCTTTAAAAGCTGACCAAAGAAAAGACCATTGCTTGTGACACTGTCTAAATCCCAACTGCTGTTTCCACACGGTCAGACCCGGTGACCACGCACATTCTTCTGGATTAATAATGAAAGCCTAAAAAGCCGAGGAAAGCTGCACGGGCACAGGCCGGCTGGCTCTGCCCTCAGGAGCCCTCACCACCAGCTCCTGTTGCCTTTCCTGACATGTGGGGCTCTTCACATCTTGGAGAGCCTGATGTCATAGGTGACCATGTTGAAGTTGTCCCAGGCGAAGAGCTTCTTCTCCAGGGGGTTGTAGTCAATCATGCTGCTGTACTTGTAGCGGTTCTTGAAGGGGATGCTCAGGACCCTGCTGCGCCCCGTGCCTGTGTCATAGGCGAAGTTGACGGTGGCATCCGGGGAGGAGTAGCTGCTGATGGTGTACAGGTGGCCGCAGATGACGAAGGCATTGGCCACGGACTGCTTCCGGATGTTAGTCTCCCAGGTCTGTTCAAGCTCCAGACTCTCCGGGTTCAGTTTGGAGAGGACAATGGCACCTTTGGCCTCCTGGGTGCTGTAGATGACCCAGAGGCCTGTCTCGTCCACAGCCAGGTCGATGTCCGTGTAGCCGCCCCACGAATACGGGAACTGTCCGTGGTAGCCGGCCCCGGGAATCTCCCTCTCGGCCTTCACCGTCTCAGCGGTCAGCTCATAGCGGACCACCGTGCCGGACCCAGCCCCCTGGAAGTAGAGGCTGCCCCGGTACACCACGGCGCCCGTGCTTTCCAGCGGCCTGGGCAGCACGTGCACCTTGGAGGGGTAGCCCTGCAGGAACTGGCTGGCGAGCTCGTACTCGAACACCTGCCGGATGTCCGTGCCCACCGTGTCGATTCTCCACGTGGTCTCCCGGGTGTGCGGGTAGGTGGGCCTCGGGTCTCTCATCCACACCCCGTACTTGCCCGTGATTGTTTCAGCTGTCCTCAGGGTGAGCGGCTCTCCTACCCAAACCAGTTCTCCGCATCCTGGAGAATTAAAGACAGACATCACCCCCAAACACTTTGCCACCACCTTCCCGCCACGTGGCCATGTGGCAGAGCCACTAAGAGCCAGAAGCCCAGACACAGAGCGTCCAGGTTTAAATCCGGGCTCTGCCGCCCGCTGGCTGGAGGGGTGACTTGCAGGTCCCTCAACCTTGGCCCCTTTCATTATTTGTGAAAGGGGATAGTGTTTTGGGTAGTAGGGATGTTGTAAATGTTAAATGTGACTACACGTGTTAGGTACTGGGTAGAGAGTAAATGCCCAGTAAGTATTATGTGATCAACGTGTCATATGAATTGAACTTCTTCTCGGTATCAGGTGTATAGATGAAGGCTACACAGAGGGCTTCAAACCGTATTTCTAATATTTGATTGAAGCCTGGCAGGAACTCACGAGTTCGTTATACTACTCTTTATAACTTCCATATCTGATTTACCTCATTTTAAAAAATGAAACAGGAGCACCCAGGTGGTTCAGTCAGTTAAGCGTCTGCCTTCGGCTCAGGTTATGATCTGTCGTGGGGCTCCCTGCTCAGTGGGGAGTCTGCTTCTCCCTCTCCCTCTCCCCCACCCCCAACTTGTGCGCACGTGTGCTCATGCTCTCTCTAATAAATAATCTTTTTTTAAAAAAATATTTAATTTATTTATTCATGAGAGACACACAGAGAGGCAGAGACACAGGCAGAGGGAGAAGCAGGCTCCCTGCAGGGAGCCTGATGTGGGACTCCATCCCAGGACCCCGGGATCACGCCCGGAGACAAAGGCATATGCTTAACCACTGAGCCACCCAGGCGTCCCTAATAAATATTCTTAATAAAAATGAAACAAAAATCAAGTCATTATAAGAAACTCAATAAAACAAAGTTCTTCAAGTCCAAACCAATGGACCACATAGTTCAGGCATCATTTTAATACAGTAAAACCTGAACATAATTTTTAAAATGTAAAGATGATTGAAAACTTAGATTTAGCGGAAGCAAACATAACAGATCTCTGTGCTTTTTTCAATTTACTCTCAGAAGCTGGGAAGTCTTTGCTCCTCATGTCTCAGGGAATTGCATTTTAAATACTTCAGAACGTCCCCACAGCCATGCATTGCTCTTTTGCTGGGAATAATTGTCAATAACACAGATTGTCACAGTTTCTGAAAACCACAGTCAGCCTTAAAGTCAGGCTTTCAGGGAACACTTTGGAGAGGGGTGATTGTACTTTCCCTCAGTACCCAAAGTTCACAGAAGATACCTTTTCTGAGTATATACTATGTGCTGAGATGGTGCATGGTGTCATCTGGCCCTAAGATCAAGAAAGATATGAAGGATCTACAAAAAAATGTAACTAACTCTATATGGCAATCCAGTGGGTGAAATAAACCCATCTCTCCTCTTCCCCGAGGGCAGCCCAGCTGAGCCCACGATCCCTGAGTGGGTGGTGAGACACAGGGCTGTGCTAGGAAAGGCGGACTCCCTGCCAGCATGCCCTGGAAAGGGAGCAGAGAAGGGCTCATCCCTTCCCCTCCCCTGCCTCTTGCCAGGCTGACCTGTGGTCCGCCTTCCCCCCAAAGTGGGCGGACCAACTCTGAACACAACCAGGCACAGATACAGACCATGTATGTGCAAAAGGGAGGACATTTAGCTTTATACCAGAGTCTCCCTCCTCGTTCCTGGGATGGCCAGATGGACTCTCCTTCAGGATTCGGGAGGCAGGAACCTCAGTTAACTCTGACTTTAGTTCCTGGAAGTTCACGGTCTCCACGTTCCATTTCGAAACTGTATTAAAAGAAAGAGACAAACTTGTACCATGAGGAAAAACAGCCGAATGACTATGCTGAGGATGGTATTTAATAGGCTTTCAAAGATATGACGGTGTTTGGGATTCGTTTTAAGATAATAACTATGTAGGGGCGCCTGGCTGCTTCAGTCAGAGGAGCATGTGACTCCTGATCTTGGGGCCATGGGTTCAAAGCTCCATGTTGGGTGTAGAGATTACTTAAATAAATAAAACTTTTAAAAAGATTTAAAAATAATAAATATGTAGTGTCGGGGGTGGAAGTAAAACAAAATTGGCCTCAGCAGACAACTGTTGGAACTGCGTGATGGTACAACAGGGTTCGTGTTGTCCTTGATGCTTTTGTGAATGTCTGAAAAATGTCCATAACACCAAGCTCCCAGGGCACCTGGGTGGCTCAGTCAGTTAAGTGTCTGCCTTTGGCTCAGGTCATGATCCCAGGGTCATGAGATCAAATCCTGAGTTTGGCTCCCTGCTCAGCGGGGAGTCTGCTCCTCCTCGTCCCTCTCCCCCTTCTCCCAGCTCATGCTCTCTCTCACGCTCTCTCTCCCTCTCAAATAAATAAATACAATCTTAAAAAAAAAAAGCTCGCAAATAGTAAATTGCATAGCGATGTGCCTTGCACAGAATAGGGTATTCCAAATAAAGTAAACTTGTACACAATTCAAATAATTCCCTAATTTACGAACAGGTGAGGTGTGATTCAGGGATATTGAGAAGATCCTCGCATCTTCTGGGATACCTGAAATTCAACAATCAACAATTCTGTGCCTGACATAGGTTCTTTTCCCTGTCATAATGCCATCATTCCTGTGAGAGGTAACATATTCAGCTTTACATCCTCAGTTGACCTATCAGATTCCTTTCTGAGGTCATTCTTGGACAAGGACAAAGTGTCCAGGATTCCTACAGGAATTTGCGGGCAGGGTGGGGGTTGCCCATGTTGAATGGAAGGGGTGGGGAGGACACTGGTTAGACATGAAGTTGCCACACTGTGTCACATTTCGCTACTTTGATCTAGGATTAGGCTTATACAGGAGTCCTTGAATACAACAAAAAAAGCAAGAGCCACGAGGAGCAGGCTTTGGTGTTTTAAAATGTTTATGAGGTTTATGACTCAGGTATGGTGAAACCAACAGATGAGTTGATTGCTAATGGGAAGGCAGTTTATTATACTCACTGCTCCCAAGGGGCAAGGACACCCACACCATAGGGGCCATATGGGACAGCCCCAGGGTCACTCAGGAGGGAGTGGAAACACTGCAAGAGCCATCATTGCTTTTCCTGTAGGAAGGAACAGGTGAGGCCGGGCATGTGGGCTTAGGATTGGCTAATGTGAATAACTGGCAAACTCCCTGAGGTGAGCTGTTTCTTTTCCCTGGTACCTTTCTTCAGACTGTCACAGACTATTCCTCAGAATAATTCAAACTGCTTTAATTGTCTCAATGAATTCTCAGAATACTGGAGCTAGTTTCAGGTAGTGTAAGGTGATAAATACTGCAGTGGCATCTGTGCAAAACTTCCAGAGAGTTCCCTTGCTCCCCCGTCCAGTTCCCACCCTTTAGCTCCGTGACCCACAGTTACTATACAAGGGATACCCCCTGTGCCAGCTCCTTCCTTTGTGCATCTGATGCCCATTGTTTTATTCTGTGAATGTGGCTAAGATGATCATGTAGCTTAGTGACTTACTGAGAAATAGATATATACTGAGAAAAGTAAGTGAATACACCTACTGATCGATGAGAAGAAAATTGAGAAAAATTCCCACTTCAGGCACAGAGGGGATAAAGAAAGTAGAGAAAACAAACCCAAACAGGCATTTTCCAGGGTGACTTCTATGAAGATAGCTAAAATACCGAAATATTGAAAACAGACCCTTTGTGAAAAGAGATGATGTACAGGTATTTATAGCTGGTCCCACATTTCTTTCTTTTTTTTTTTTTTTAAGATTTTATTTATTCATGTGAGACACACAGAGAGAAGCAGAGACACAGGCAGAAGGAGAAGCAGGCTCCATGCAGGGAGCCTGACGTGGGACTCGATCCCCGGACTCCAGGATTGGGCCCTGGGCTGAAGGTGCCGCTAAACCGCTGAGCCACCCGGGCTGCCCTCGTCCCACGTTTCAAAGCAGTTTCATAGAAATTATTTATGTGATCTGACACCTTCACAACTTTCTTCAGGACTGCAGTCTGCAGCTAATTTAGTTATTGCCACCACTTACCAAGCGCCTCCTATGAGCCAGGTCCTGTGCCCATTCCCTCTGTTCCACATAACAGTCCTGACGTGGATGATAGCACCTTCGTTTTGCAGAAGAGGAAACTGAGGCTCAGAGAGGTTAAGTAACTTGCCCAAGGTCACACAGCTGCTTGTGGTGGACTAGGACTTGAGCCCACGTCTGCCAAGGTCATGGCAGTTGTGAACCTTTCTACCTGTGGCGGGGAGGTTTGCCAGTTATAAATGAATTGCCCCTTGGTGCCAAAAGGAGCACTTCCCTAGATGCTCTCTGGAAGACGAGGATTTCTCCTTGAAAGTGGGCGCGATGTCCAGCCTTGTCAGGAGAGGGCGCCGGAGGCACGCTGTGGGGGCAGGCCGCGGCTGCAGCCCCGGGACCGCGGGCGGTGCGCGTGCCAGGGGGTCCTCTGGAGCGCTGCCCCAGCTCCTCGGGGACCTTGCAGCCGCAGCCCTGTCACACAGGACCCTGAGTCCCTGCACGCCGGCGCCCGCTCTGCGAGGCCCGGCGGGGCCCCCACCTCCGCCTCCAGCCTGCACAAACCCGCCAGCTTCTCCCCTCTCCCCTGGGCTAGACCTTACCTTCCGCAGTGAGGCCTGCACCCCTGGCCGGGCTGTCCTTCCTCTGGAACCCCCTCTCCCCCCCCCCACCCCCCCCCGCCCTCAGGAGCCCTGTGGGATGTACTTACATCTCATAGTTGCCTTTCATCCCACTTAAATTCTTTATGTTTTTGATACAGAACTTAGGCCTTACAAGATTTAATAACGATCGGTCGTTGGAACCACACCTGATGTGCTCTCTTGGGAGTAAACAAGAACCACAGTGAAGCATAATGTCAGGGAATGGCTTTCACGCTGCCGCTCGGCCCTTCTCCGTTGGCAGGCGGCCGGGTGGATGGCGAGCCCGCTGGCCGCTTCCCGCTTGCGTCAGCCAGGAGCACCTGGCAGCGGGCAGCTCCCAGAGCAGAGCTGTCTGGCCTGAGGCCAGAAGCCTGTGGGAGAGGATGCGCAGCCCAAACGCCGGGAAGCAGTTGTGTGAAGGAGCCTGGCCCCGCGCCAGGTCACAGCTTCCTACTGTGGGCCTGCCGCATACCAGCTGTGCGACCCTGGCCAACTTACTCAACCTCTCTGAGCCTCAGTATTCTCAGCTCAAACTACAAATGAAAAGTCCTTAATAAACGTGTGTCAGAATTAAAATTTCTCTGGAATGTTTAAAAATCACTCCTATTTCATCCCGAATGTGGGGAGAAAACAAAAAAGAGGATATGAAACTATTAAGGACTGTACTGTATCTAATAGCCAAAAAATTTTAGGGCTTTTATTTGTTTCTGTTAAAATTCAGTCGCTCTGTGGTTGAAAAGTTCATGCCTCTTACAAAATTTTGGAAATTTTCGGCATGCTCCGCCTTATGTCCCTTACCTCTGCTTTGCAGACTCATTCTAGGGAGCTTAACCTAGAAGCTTCCCAGGAAAGTGAAGATTAGCTAGCCATCCTGGATGTTGCTCCAACACGTACTGTCTCTAGGATCAATGTGTGTTACAAAAGTGTTATGAACATGTGGATGTTTTAATCATTCGGTGACACGCTAAAACAGCGCAGCTCGAGGAAGCGAAGCCCTTCATAGTTGCGATCGATGCAATGCATGGCCACTCTGTGCAGGCTCTGTACTAGATGCTTCTCCCTGTTAATTCTAATCTGCATCATAACCCTACAAGGGATTATTATCTGCAGCACTTGCATGGAGCACCTCTGGTGCTCTTCCTTCGTATCCTGCCCACCTTTTCCCAATCATTTCTGCAGCAGCCTACCTTGTGCCAACATTACCTGCCAGGACACTGCCTCATCTGCCCTGCTCCGGCTTCTCTGACTCTCTGCAAGAGCCAGCCTGGTGCCCATATCTGTGCATCATGGAAGTGGGATATAGTCTTTGGCCAGCAGAAGATCAGATCCAAAAATGAATGCTCCCTTCCTCTGCTTCATTCTACACAGCTCCCCAGAAGGGTCGGGTGGGGTCGAGGCTCCACCACCCACCATGGGGGCCCACTGGAGAATGCCCTTGTCTTCCTTTCCTTCCCTGACTCACTCTCCCCTGTCTGACTTCTCCATGGGATCATGGCCCATACAAACCACTGCACATGAGCCGCCGTCCCAGGCTCTGTTCTCTGGGAGGATCAATCTGAAGTAGAGGGAAATAAGGGGAAAGGGGGCTTCTTCTGTAACACTAATAACCAACTCTGATATACCATCTGGTATTCTGTATTGTTCTACTTTGGACTTATTGAATAGGTTGCCAGACATTTTGCTACCAAACTATTACTACAAAATTATATATATATACGATGTCAATTCTCTCACATGTACACACACACACACGAGTGATTTCCATGATTCTAAGGAGGCCTTTTTCTATGTAACAATTACATGATAAAGACAACGGTGGTAACAGTTTGAATGACATGCAGAGTGAGAAGTCCACCTTCTGTGGCTTCCCTGGGCTAGGCTCACGCAGCCTCGCCGAGCCCTGCCTCCCCGCTTGGCCCACAGCTCTTGCCTCCCCTACCTGAAGCACACCCACACTTTCATTCCAGCCACCCAGGAAGCCCTTTACCCTTAGACCTAGGACCCTGAAGCCCATCTTTTGTTCCAAACATTTCTTTCCTTAATGCTTACATGGACTCTTCCTGGAGTGCCCAGCCAGCTCAGTTAGTGGAGTATGAGACTTGTGATCTCAGGGTTGTGAATTCAAGCCCCGTGTTGGATGTAGAGATTACTTATAATAAAATCTTAAAAAAAATAAATAAATGTAAACTTCCTGTCTTTTGTCTTCAGGTTCTATAAACTAGAGGTCATCTCAAGGTCCTGAAGAGCTACTGGACCTCAGGTGGGAGGAACTGATTAGAATTCTGTTGTGGCTCTGCCACTAGCTGGGTAGGTGGCCACAGACAAACTCTGGGCCTCAGTTTCCACATCTGCATGAAACAAGCCAGTGGATCAGACACTCTGCAGGCTGCTTTTGCAGCTCTACAGTCTTGTGCTAATGGAATTTCCTGCCCATGAAAAAAATCCCACTACTAAAAAGACCTTCCAAGCTTGGAGTTCAGTCTAACGAGCTGTTGTCCTTATTTCAAAAGTAGAGCAGCTGGAAAGAACAAAAAGAAATGTAAAATTAGAGAACACATCTAATAAATTCCCTAAGTCTTGTTAAATGACCACAGGACAATAAAAAACCAAAACGTTGCCTCTGTTTTCACACACACACGAGTTTTTGTTGAGAATAGGACTCCATTATTTAGCAGCCTGAAATAAGTAATGTTTCATGATGTTTCTATTAATACTGATTCTTTTATCAAAGACTCAGGTTTGACAAGTCTTCATACTACCACTGATTGTTGTGCAACCCGGGACCCTCAGTGTCTTCGGACCTTATTTTTCTTTGTTATAAAATTTAGAATTGAGTCTCTTCCAACTATAGCAACACAGGATTTTAAAAAATCCTTTACACCCAAGAGTTATGGTATTTGAACCTCACAAAAATCATTCACAGTAGGAATGTTCATTACCATGTAATGGATAAGAAACCAAGGTTCAGAGGTTAAGTGACTTGCCCAAGGTCACACCTAGATATGGACTCTTGGGTTTTTCAGTCTCATTTACATATAGACCTTGCCTCTCAGGTAGAAAGTCCCTCCCTCCTTTTAAAAAAATAGGGTCTACGCCCAGCATGGAGCCCAACCTGGTGCTTGAACTCATGGCCCTGAGATCAAGACCTGTGCTAAGGTCAAGAGCTGGACACTTAACCAATTGAAACACCCAGGTGCCCCTAGAAAGCTCTTTTAGAAAACAATCATTTCATTTTGGAGATTTCTGAACCTTTTGAAAAGTTGAAAGAATCATACAATAAGCCCCCATGTGCTGCTCATTGAGATTTACCAATTATTAATATTTTGTCACGTTTATTTTTCCTTTGTTTCTGCCATTTTTGATACGTTTATCATCTTAACCATTTGAAAGTAAATTCTGACATCTTAACCCCTAGAACTTGAGTATGTGTTGCCTTAGAAAAGGATATGCTTCATAACCACGATACCATCTCTCACCCAAGAAACTGAGCATTAATCAAGAACAGGACCTACTACGCAGTCTATATTCAAATTTCCCCAATGATTCCAAACCTATCCCTGTGACTTTTTTTCCCCTAGATGGAGAAGCCAATCCAAAGCCAGGGACTCCATTGACCACCACATGTCTTTAGCCTCATATAATCTAGAACAAGCCACACCCCCTTGTCTTTCTTTCTTGAGACTGACATCTCTGAAGAGTCTGGACTAAGTGTCCCGCAACTGGATTTGTTCATTTGTTTCCTCCTGCCTGGAATACTAATTATTAGACAGGGAATACTTGGGAGTACAGCTTCACAAAAGTGACACATATACCATCCCCTCAAATAATGAGGAGAATGTGCTCCCTGTCACAATGTGCACTCACTGCCTCACCTTCAAGCGGGGACCAGGATGAAGAGAAGAGCATCTCAGAGCCGCCTCAAGGAGTTACCTGGTGACTTGAAAACCGAGGTTCTCGGATTGGGCAAGGAGTAGGAAAACTTCCAAAACAACATATTGAGGAACCTGACAAGGGTTGCCACTTCTTTATTTTTCCAAGAAAGGACATTAAAAAAAAAAAAAAATAAAACCCTACCGTCTATCATGATTTCATAAATCTCTTTTCATTTCATAAATATCTATTGGCATTTCATAAATCTTATTTTAAGATTTATTTATTTATTTATTTATTTATTTATTTATTTATTTATTTATGAGAGAGAGAGAGAGAGAGGCAGAGACACAGGCGGAGGGAGAAGCAGGCTCCATGCAGGGAGCCCGACGCGGGACTTGATTCCGTGACTCCAGGATCGCGCCCTGGGCCAAAGGCAGGCGCCAAATCGCTGAGCGACCCAGGGATCCCGGCATTTCATAAATCTATTGTTCATTTTAACAACAAAAGGTAGGAATCACTATCTTCAAGCAAAGATTCAGAAAAGGATAGTTTTCCAAAGAGGATGGTTGATGATGTTCTACTCATCATATACATGTATGTCTCACCTGTTCTTATATTTCTCACTTTGCCATGACTGGGAAAGCTGCCAGGGGAGGCACGAGAACTCAGAACCACTAACCCAAACAGAACTCTCAGGAGATAATGACTAGTAATATGTGAGACTGATTGCTTGGCCCTCCTTAATTCATCTGCCTGGTGCTGGATGTACAGTCCCTGGGAGAAAGGAGAGGGCAGGAGAGGCAAGCTGGGGCCGCCTGTAATAGGCCTCTATGAGCCATGTCACCTTCTGGACTCAGGGGCTCCTTTACCCCACATTCTTACCTTCCCTGGAGCCTGCTGGCACGTCCTGAGAGGAGCTGTGGGCCTGGGGACACTGGCCTCTTCTCAGCCTTGCTACCTCCTGGCTGCTATGTTCCAGCCTCTGGGCCAGATCCTCATTTTCTTCCCCCAGTCGCCTCTTGTCTTCTTCCAGAGCTGACTTGTCGCGGAGGAGGTTGCTGTAGGCCACCTCCAGCTCCCTGGCTTGGGTTTCCAGCTGTTCTCGCTCCCTTCTCAGGGTGCCCAGCTCTCTGTGCAGCCCCTCCTGGCTCTCTGAGGGCCCAGCAGCCTGGCCCAAGGTTAGCTGGTGGAGGAGGGCCTCCAGGGAGCTGAGCCGGGCTTTGGTGGACTCCAGGTCTCTCTGCAGGTCCTGGATGGCTGACATGGCCTGGCCCTGCTCGGGGCAGCTGGACTCATTGGGGCTGGCCACACTGAAAATATACTGGCATCGGCCGCTCCGGTCATTGGCCTTCCGGAGCTGGGCTGTCCTGGCCTCTAAACCCCATAAGAGACAGGCCAGAAGTAGCAGCTGGGCAGTGGGCATGTTAGGCCTGCAGCTGCAGTGATGTGCACGGAAGCCCTCAGTGCAGAGCCTGGGCAAAGCTTCCCCGGAAAAGCTCTCCTACTCTGTGAGGTGTCTGGATGGGTGGCCCTGCTGGCTCATGCCATGGCTTCACAGAGGTTTATATATACTGGAGAGCCCTCCCTGCATGGGGGGAGAAGGAGGCGGCCACGTGAGGCTGGGTGGGGCCATGCACAGGGGAATTGTTTTCACACGGCCAGAAAACTTAGAATATGACATTCCAGAAGTCTGTTTTGAATTTCTTTTAAAAAAGAATGTCTCACTTTATGCACCCCATATCCCTACAATATTCCCTATATCCCCACCCAATTTTGGGCACACACATCCACACAACATGACCGCATCCGTGTCTCTTTCAACAAGTAATCATTTCTAATTTATATTTCCATTTACTCTGCAAACTTTATTGAGATCTGCTCTGTGCCATGGACTGTGCTAGAAACCGGGGATGCAGACATTCATAGGACAAAGTCCCTTTGTCCCTGTGGCAGTGACAGAGATAAATAATAGCCAGCCGAAATACAAGGGCGGTGTGCCACCAGGCTTCAGGGAACAGCAATCCCGGAGAAGCAGTTAGAAGCAGAATTTGTCCCTTGCCTCTTGCTTTAAAACAAGTGTGGGTTTGTATCTGAGAGGACTTTCTAATTCTAGTCCTGGCATATCAGGCATCTATGTCAGTGAGACCCTTAAGCTGGCTCTTACCATGTGTAAATGTGTATGAGTATGAGTGTGTGTGTGTGTGTGAGTAAAAGCATCTTCATCCTCATTAATGAAATCCGTGGAAGTCTTCTCAGGAAGATGTTTTTAAATGTATAAAATACATAGGACCGCAAAGGAAGCACATGATATTGAAATACTATCAAAATATTTTTAAAATTTGAAATAGCCATGCCCTTCTTCATTAACACTTTAAATTGATTTATTCAAGTTGGCTCCACACCCAACATGGGGCTTGAACTCATGACGCTGAGATGGAGAGTCACATCCTCTACCACTGAGCCAACCGGGTGCCCCATCTTTATTAATACTTTAAAAACGTGGAGGGGTGCCTAATTTCAAAGTAGTTTGAGCGTAAATGCTATTTATTGCATGGTATCTGCCCCAACCACAATGTAACACAACATGTCTGCGATTTCTATTGATAGAGACAAAGTCACAGGTACTGCTAGTACAATGTTGGATTAATGGCTATTTTCATAATGGAATGAAATGTTAAACCTAAAATTTAGTTAGAAGGTACTGAAAATAAAGACTTTTTCCTACCCAAATTCACAGGCTCTGGGCCCTTATTTAACAATCCCTACTTTACATTAATAAACCTAAAGAGAGGGATCCCTGGGTGGCGCAGCGGTTTGGCGCCTGCCTTTGGCCCAGGGCGCGATCCTGGAGGCCCGGGATCGAATCCCACGTCGGGCTCCCGGTGCATGGAGCCTGCTTCTCCCTCTGCCTGTGTCTCTGCCTCTCAATCTCTCTCTCTCTCTCTCTCTCTCTGTGTGTGTGTGACTATCATAAATAAAAAAAAATAAAAAAAAATAAACCTAAAGAGAAAGCAAATAACAAATAGAAAAAAAATACCGAATATGCTAAAAGGATGTCTGTGCAAATCAGAATGTGTGCAGTAGCCTCATCAGAACTTTTATTTTTTTTTTAATTTTTTTTATTTATTTATGATAGTCACAGAGAGAGAGGCAGAGACATAGGCAGAGGGAGAAGCAGGCTCCATGCACCGGGAGCCCGATGTGGGATTCGATCCCGGGTCTCCAGGATCACGCCCTGGGCCAAAGGCAGGTGCCAAACCGCTGCGCCACCCAGGGATCCCCTCATCAGAACTTTTAAAATAATGTTTACAGGATGCCTGGGTGGCTCAGTGGTTGAGCGTCTGCCGTTGGCCCAAGTCATGATCCCAGGGTCCTGGGATTGAGTCCCCGAGTTTCTCCCTCTGCCTGTGTCTCTGCCTCTCTCTCTGTGTCTCCCATGAATAAATGAATTTTAAAAATGAATAAAATAATGCTTGCATTTGAGCAATTTATACTAAGGCCAAGAACGTCTTCAGTATTTGTGAAGTAAATACTGCAGATGTGCCCCGGCAGACTCAACTGGATTTTGGGAAGATACCTTTTGCTCAAACTCTTCTATTCTTATTTGGTTCTAAAATTAGACTGGAACTTGAGACAATTACATATGGGTGTCTGTCTACTGCTCACCGAAGAGTCCTATTCTCCGTGCTTGCATCAGATCATAAACATTATCAAAATGATTTTGTAAAATATCTCCTAGTCAGCAAGAACTGGTTCAAATCTGCTTGGCTTCACTCTCAGGATTGTTTTATTTCTGTGAAGAGGACTGAGATTATGCCAGCGCCGCAGAGGAAAGGAGTTCTGGATAAAGAGACATGTAGGTAGTTTCTCTGCCTTCAGCTTGCTCAGGATTACTCTGCTTGTCCATGAAGAATATGGGACTGAGGCCTGCTGTTCTGACGTCTGGTAGACTGGGTTCCCAATCTGTAACTCCCGCGGTTCTTCTGCTCAGCTCCCATGGTGCTGTGCTGCACCTTTGTCTTCCTCGCCCATGCTCCATTCCTCTTGGTCCCTCCACCTCCCCTGAGCTGCAGGCCAGTCTGCGGCAGAGCAGTCACTGTTGAGCCCCGTGAGTGCCAGTGGAGGCTGAAGAGTTGAACAATCCCTGGCATTTTCATTTGGTCCAACCCGGGTTTGGAATGCCAGGCAAGAGCTACCACCAGTCATTCTCAATGTTCTTTATGGTTCCTGGCAAATGCTCGGAAAAAGAAAAGGTGGCTGTTGGGTCCACGGAGCTTTTTTCAATCATTGCAACTCGCCATGGAGCCTGACCAGGTAAGGACCAATGGAACTCCCACACTCTGCCTCCCCTCACTGACCCTGACCCTCCATCAGCACCCAGTGTGCCTCAGCATCTCCCTCTCGGAGCCTTCCTGGGGCTAGAGCCACAAGGTCACTTGCATGCCCAGAGAAGGAGAGGACGTGCTCAGGGTCACACAGCCAACAAGTGGCAGAGCCAGATAGAAAACTGAGGTCTTCTGATTCTGAGGTTTTGCACCTTCTTGCATATGCCAAGTCCCCCCAAGTGCTCAGTAGTTGCCCAGAATACATGAAAGACTCCAGTCACTTCAGCCAGGAACTGACGCTGTAGGAAATGAGCTAGCTTCCTATATTAACAGGCCTTCCATTAAATGAAGGCCTTCAGGGAGGGGAAAACTCATGCACACCCTTCGGGTTCCACGGCTGATATTCTGAAACTGCATCCTTTCATCAAATAGGATTACTCTCCTAAAAGCAGAGAAAAGGGCTCCCTAAAGGCACAGCAAACCCCCAGCCCCAGAACAGCAAGAAACATCTGGTGGGCTTCCTGCCACTCTGTTCAGCGCCCCGCCTGTCACCACCCTCTCCAAGCCCGGGCCCCTACTCCCTGCGGGCCCCCACCTCCTGGAATCTGCCTGGACGAGGATCCCCTTTCCCTCCGGGGAAACATCGTTCACTCCAGAGTGGCTGTCAGACCGTGCTCCAGGGCCATTTCCTCTCTGGAGCCTGGAGCCAGGGAGTCTCCAGCTCAGGCTGCCGGCAGCCAGGAAGCTGCTCACCGGTGCGCCGGCCAAGCGCAGGGGGTGCCAGTGATGGGAGCGGCCCTGGAAGGTGGGGGACCCGGCCGCCAGTGCGACACGGAGGCAGCAGGGGGCGGCGGGGGGCGGCTTCAGTGGGGCTCCCGATTGCAGCACATTCAAGGATGTGTCTCTGTGCCCTCAGCATTGGGGGCAGGCTGGCTGGCTACTGATCGCCTGCAGTCTTTCCACGAGCAAAGGTAACCCCCGTGATGGTAGAGCTGTGACTGCTTTGCTCACCACTTTGTCCCCAGGGGCTGGCAGATAGAAGCGCTCAGTACAGGTTCAGGGGATGCCTGGATGCATGTGGACTTCAAGCAGAAAGGGAGAGCCAGAGGGCCCTAAGGAAGGAAAACAGCCAGTGACACCTTCTGATGATCTGCTCAGGACCCTCTGGGCACCTTGCAGGTGGCAGGTGGCAGGACTCCCCCATCTGGAGAGGAAACTTTGCTGGCAGCACACTGCCCTCCCCCAAATGCACACACACAGCCTCAAATGGGATTGTTCCACGTATTCCTTCATTTCGCTACAGATCGAGAGGCTCCCTGCAAAGCGTGGTGGATTAGAATGATAAGAGCCTGGCGAAGAGGACGAGGGAAGGGATGGCAGAGAAGAAGCCGTCTGCACTGGGGAGCTCATGGCACCGCTCACCACCCTGCCTGCCCCTTTCATCTGTGTCCTTGCTGGTCCACCACTCAGAGGAGTCATTCACTATTAAGCACCTACTGTATGTTAAGGGCTGTGGAGCGTACACAAGTGTGTCAGAAACAGGCCCCACGCTGAAGAGAGCTGTCAAGCTGTAGGGGCAGGTGAGGCTGTTCAGGGGACCTCAGTGCTGGAGGAGCCCTGGGGAGGGAGATGTCCCTAGTGGGCAGGAAAGTCTTCGCAGGGGACATGGCATTTGTAATGGGACCTAATGAGATGATGCGTTGACAATGACTGAGGCCCTGGGGCTGGAGACAAGGTTCCGGGTCTGCCTTAGGTTCTGATGTTCAGGTTGTGGCCCGCAGAACCACTTTCAGATTAAACACACCTATTTCCTTTGTTGCCCCCTCTCCCCCCTTCCCTGCCCTCCTCCACCACTCCCCAAAGCAGAAGGGAAGGGGAGGGGAGATCTTAAGCCAGAGAGCCCTACCAAGTCCCTTCATTCAGCACTGGCCCCTAGGCTTGTCTGGGGCTGTCGAGGTGGAAGCTGGTCCTGGGCACTGGAGCTTCCTGTGTGGAGACAGACTTCCAAGGGCAGGACCCGTGTAGCCCAGACACAGGTACCCTGAGAGGAAGGCTTTTAGGGGGCGCAGTGGATGTAGTGACAGCCCACTCAGCGGAGTCCTGAGAGCTGCAAATGTCATGCTAGCATCTAAAAAAGTCAAAGCACACTAATCTCAAGGATACTGTTGGCAATTTTAGCCCTACAGATTCTAGTCCCACAGGCATCCC